TTTTTTTTGGGATCCGCGTTCGGCCCGAACGGCCGAACGCATCCCCAAGGGTTCCCATACGTTCGGGCGTTCGGGTTCGGGCGTTTGGCCCGTCCCGAACGCCGGTTACCCTGTATGTATACATATTTTTGGCCCGGATGGGCAAGTGGTCCCCGGCCACTCTGGTAGCCTAGCCCTTATTGAATTTCTTAGGTTTGTGAAAAGGCTCAGTAAGGTCTGATCATTGATCAAAGAGAAAACTCATAACCAAATACTTTTGTGGCACTTTCTGTCTGTGGTGATGACTTGCCTGTGGTGCTCGTGCACTGTTATCCGTTGGCTGCTGTCTCCATACAGGTCCTATTCTGTGGTGGAGCATCATCAAGCAAAAATGCACAATATCCTGGAAAAATCAACATTCGGCCCTATAACTTAGTTGAATCTGCACTTGCTTTGAAGTTCCTGAAAGCCAATTCTTTAGGTAAAACTGCATTTTTGTTCTCCGTGTTCACACCTTACCTCTGACACGTGCTGGCCTCTCTTCTTATCTTAAAGCACCAGTACATGCCAGCTATCAGCCGCGGGGCCCTTTCGGAGGCCGCCCGCAGCCGATTAATTTTATCTGCGGCGCTCATCCTCCTAAGTTTTCGGAGAGGCTCAAAACAGGTTCTCCAGTTGCCTGGGGCCATGTACTGGTGGCTTAAGGTTGCTCAGACACTCTGTTCTCATCCATACTGTCAATCTCAGGTTTACTAAATAGAATGTGTCCCTCAGTTATGGAAGGAAAATACAAAGATCAATTGAGCATGTAGAAATTTGCCCCTTGGGCCCTTGTGTTAATAAAGGGAAAGACCCACTGTGATTTCACAATTCAGCCTGGGGAGGCTTTTAGTGCCGCTATGCTTTTTTTTGTCTTTTTTTCCCTAACAGTTACCTGGGCTATGAACAGGGCCGCCGGGGTCACCTTGGTTCCCCGGGCGGCCCGGTCGGGCAAGGGCCGCGGAAGGTCCCTGCGAAAAAAAAATAAAAAAATCTCTTTACAAGTAAAAAAAAAACATGGTTGCCAACCAGACGTCCGGATCCCGATCCAGACAGTCCGGTGTCCGGTTTGGAGGGTCCAGTTGTACCCTGATTTCAAGAAATTCGAAAATTTCTTTTGGGATCCCCGGGCCATTTTACTGGGCCTGGGGTACCCCAGAAAATTGTTGCTGTTGTTTTTTTTTGAACCGTCACCCCAATTGGACCAGCCCTGAAGGGCCCGCTGTTGGATAACTTCGGAGGCCAGTAGTAGCCGCAGTACCGAGGTGGTGGTTTCCCGCCGGCGGGCGGACCCCATTTTCGAATGAAGCGCCTCGTGTAGCAGCGCTCTCAATCAGAGTCAAGCGACTGTGGCGGGATACTGGGGGACTGGAGTGGGTGTGGAACGGATATTTGGGGGCCGGAGCGGATGTGGAACGGATACTTGGGGGCTGGAGCAGGTGTGGAATGGATACTTGGGGGCTGGAGCGGGTGTGGAACGGATACTTGGGGGCTGGAGTGGGTGTGGAACGGATACGTGGGGGCTGGAGCGGGTGTGGAAGCTGTGTGTGTGTGTGTTTGTGTCATGTGTGCCGGTTCAAGATTCAAAGCTCTGAACTTTTTTTTTTTTTTTTTTTTTTAACAAAACTCCTCCCGTGCTAGCGATGCTGATGAAATCAGACACCGCTAGCACCTGGGGGTAGGCTCCGTCTATCGGTGGGGAGCATCACCTGCTGGAAAACGGGTCCAGCGTCCCTTATAAGTATGATACAATTGGAATACATCAGAAAAGGCCTTAGGAAGACCTGCCAGCATTGATTGCCCTGCTCAAAGCTCTGAACTTCGAAGTTCATATGTTAATATTTCCAATTTTATTAGCGTGTTGGACCACTCCCACAAACCTGTGTGCGTCTGTGTTTGTGTCATGTTGGCCGTTTTTTTTTTAACTTTATTTTAACCGGACAACCGGACACTGATACACCCAACCGGACTGTCTGGGTCCGGTTGTCCGTATGTCCAGTTTAATCCAGACATGGGTCCGGTGAATGTGTCCAGTTGTCTGGATGTCGATGTCCGGCGCAACGATGAAAAACAACTATGCTAAGCGGAAAAAAAAAAACTGGACAACTTTTGCCTAGTTTCAAATTGAAATTCCTTAGCATAAGGACTTGTATTTTGGTGGTTGCTTGGGTTATCGTGTAACGTGCCAAGGATTATATGATGGCTCCATGAACATGCATCCAGCGACGGCAGAGGAACCTGATGAGGTTCAAGAGGCTCTGGAGGCTGAGAGAGACAGAAAGAGGTGACGGCAGGGGGAGGCATGGAGGGCTTGGAATATTTGCAGATGGAAAAGGAGCTTTTGGGCGTCCATCTGTGACATGCATCCAAGGATGAATAAACAGTGTGTCATATGCAGAACCTTCCTACATGTCTAAACCTCTTCTCTTGTTGATATCAGAAGTCAGGAGATAACCTCTTTTGTTTATCATTGCTACTTGTTTCTGAAAAGTCTAGGGAGTTGGCAGAGTCTGAGAAGGCTCAGGCATTCCTCGCAGACTCTGCCAACTCCCTAGACTGGAGAGCCTGCTTGGCCCAGAGTTGCTGAAGGTGTCTATAACTGTTGTGAGAAGTTGAAATGTTGCAAGTGCCCCTAGCAGGTTTGGGACACATATCCCCTAGAAACAAGCAGAAAGACGCGTTTGAACGCTTTTTTGGAAATTTTGTTGGGTGTGGTGGATACAGGAAGGATTGTCTCAGTACGAGGATCGGTGGTACGGATGAGTGTGATCAAACCATTGGTGACCTGCCTGAGCTTTAATTGTGCCAAGTGTGGTGCTGTCACTGTGCAAATCTTCGAAGATGGAAAGTACTCTGTTCCAACAAGCTGTTCTCTTGAGGGATGCAAATGCAAGACGTTTCATCCAAGCCGCCCTTCAGTACATGCAATTGACTTTCAGAAAATCAGGCAAGTGGATCGTTTTTCATCAAGTGTGTATGTGTATTACATGACTGAGAGCATGGTTTTGGCTGCCAGCCATGGTTGCATACCTGCCTACCGCCGACCCCGACCGCCGACCGTTTTGCAGAGGACCAGTAGGGCCGACCGGTCAGCGGTCTGCCTACCAGTCAGAAAACAGCCATCCACTAATGTTTTTTCAGATCTGAGTTGGAAGCTGTACTGCGCTTGCTGAGTACAGCCCAAATTCGCTGAGAAAGTTTTGGGGATAGGGGGGGGTGTATAGGGGTGGTATAGGAGGTATTGGGGGGGGGTATAAGGATGTTGGGGTGCGGTTTGGGGGTGTTGGGGGGTTGTATGGGGGTATTTTGGGTGGGTATGGGGGTGTTGGTGGGGTTATTAGGGTTTCTGCCCCCCCCCCAAAAAAAAATAATAATAATAAATTGACGGGGTGCCGAAGACCCCCGACCGGTAGGTGCCGACCAGCCGACCGGTCGGTGGGTCTGCAGCGGACCAGTCAAGGGTCGCCGACGATTGGGGTGTGCAACACTGGTGCCAGCAGGAATAACAATGTGTATGCTTGACCTATATCTGTGCTATGCTTGGCGTTTGTGGGTGCTTATTCTCCCAATCTCGCAAGGACCTGCAAGTCGGCCAGCTTCGAGAGGGCAAGCACAAACGGTCACAACCCAGCTTTTTGACAGAACTGGGAGAGGACTATCTGTCAGCTATTGAATGTCATCAACCTCAATCCCAACTGCTCTGTGAATCGGAAAGCAAATGGCGATAACAGAAACTCAAAGACAATCAGACCGATGGTACCATCCATGGAGGGGTCTCATGTCGTGACGATGAAAGCAGCAAACTCAGCCAATGCCTGCGTTTCTACGAGCACAATGCTGCTCTAGACTGAGTCCAGAAGTGTGTGCCTCTTGTGACATCAAAATGATCCAGCAATCCTTCTGGGCTCTGGCCTCGTCATGATTGAAGTCAAGTTTGCAGAGGTGGTGGAGGTGGAGGTGGAGGAGGAGGAGGAGGCACAGCGTTGTCTTTCTGGGTGGAGGTTTTCCTGAACCCCCGGATAGGGCTCGGCCAGTAGTGGGGGATCGTAAATCTGACCTTGAGCAGTGTATAAGTCCTGCTTGCCCTGCAGTGATGCATGCCAGGAGTGAACCGTTGGCAATGCAAGTCCAAAGATCACCAGTATGAGGAAGAGATGCAATACGACACAGCGGAAGACTAACATCAGATAGGACTGTCTGACGGTCCAGTAAAATGACAATGGGACTCAGATCTGGTCCCACACCAAGCAGGAGGGGTCCAATCACCAAAGAACCTCCCTGCTGTAATCATAAATGGACGAAGTAGTAGGGAGATGGAAGGAAGGAAGAAGGAGAAGAAGAAGAAGAAGAAGAAGAAGAAGAAGAAGAAGAAGAAGAAGAAGAAGAAGCCACTGTATGGCAGCACCAAGTAATAACAATGAATCAGGGCGTTGCACGCCTGTATTACCACTGTCCAGTCTCCCCAAGAGGAGGAAGAAGAAGAGATGGAGGATAAGAAGAAGAAATGTGAAGCCTCTCTCTTTCTCATGTAGATGATACTGACCGGTAAGGCAGAGCCTTGGGCCACCGATGCACAGCAGGTGTCTCGAGGAAGAAGAAGGCCAGCTATGGCTCGCGGAAGACCTCCAGGTTATGATGCCAGGGGAGTGGAATCCTCCACCATCACCACCTCTCCTCTATCATTTACAATGCTCCTTTAACGCTCCTCTACCTCCGCTAGTGCTAGGCTGCTCAACTCGGTGGCTCAGTAGCAACAAATGAGCTCTCTGAACTACCTATACTACCTACTGAGCCAGCCTATCGTAAATAGTATGGGGCCAGCCGCCAGCCAAGGTCGGCCTCCATCTGGGCCATCCGATCTCATCACGATCTGCCAGACCAGATGAGAGGCCGTGTGGCCAAAACTCAAGCACAGGCCTGAAAATCTGTGGTGTGGGTTCCTGCTCAGATCCAGGCCCTCCCTCACTGTCTCAGTAAGAGGCCCTGGAAGGAAAACGACTGGGCACAACAAGTCGGGTGCAGGCCCAGCCTAAAACCTGCACCATAGGTCTAGATGAGACGAAGTCCTGGGAACTTCTCCCGACCAGGACATAGTGGACTTGCCACAAAGAAAAAGGTACTGAAACAATGCAATATGCAGAAAAATCAAAGGAAACTGACTGAGAACAGACAAAATACTCATGTGCCTGCCTGAAATCGAAAGCAAAGCAAACTGCATAGACTTGACTGAGAACAGGCGAAATGCACTCACACACCTGGCTGGTAGGCCAGGATACATAATCAGGCGCCAAGGCTGGTGGAAAAGACTCTGTCCATGCTACATGCATTCCAGAGACCCGGGGGCCCTGGATCTCAGCAGAGGGACATCAAAGCCCTTGGGTATGGTTGGGGTGGCTTTGCCTGCCTGTTGGCGCAGTGTTGCAGTATGATCAATGCCAAGGTCGCCATCCCCTCTCTGAACTGCTCAGAGTGAACATTCTTCATGAATCCTCTCCGTCGAGTGCAGGATCATGAGAGAGAGAGAGAGAGAGAGAAAGAGAGAGAGAGAGAGAGAGAGAGAGAGAGAGAGAGAGAGAGAGAGAGAGAGAGAGAGAGAGAGAGAGAGNAGAGAGAGAGAGAGAGAGAGAGAGAGAGAGAGAGAGAGAGAGAGAGAGAGAGAGAGAGAGAGAGAGAGAGAGAGAGAGAGAGAGAGCATTGACAGAGTCGTAGCTTGACCGAAGAAGCGGACCAAGGAGAGAACCATAGTAACACACTCACAGAATTGAAAAAAACCGGCGCGTCGCCGTGCTCTTAGCTTCCAAAATGAAAAAAGGACGAAGAACAAGGCGCACAGGCCTTCTGCTCTCATGCCATGGCCCCGGGCCATGTAACCCTCGTCGACACACACCTTCCTTATTCGAGCCCTGGTGATCCCAGCCGCCACGTACCGACCTCCACACCAGTGATCGTCACCCCACCAATCTAGTTTCCACACCGACTTGCCCAAATCCCGCAGTCCGTTGCGGCCACCTGGCGCACAGCCTTGCAAAACCATAGTCGGCTCGTCAGGACTTTCCGACTCGCTGACCATCACGTCATCTAGCCACTACTCGGAAGCTGGCAGATCGGTTGAGAGAGAGCTTTTTGGATGCGTTTGCGGATTTTATAGCAGCGAAGAGGAAGATAGACGCGGGAGAGAAGGAAGGGAAGGTAGAAGAGAGAGAAGAGGAGATAGGGATTAATTGCCTGGGGAAAGCCATATCCATCCGCGTGAGTTCTTCGCAGCCAATCAGATCACAGCATGGGGGGATTAATTCTCCTTACACGGCGTTGTCTGATGGCTTGAAGTCTCTAAGAGGGGATTGGTAGGGATTTCCTGTACAAGGACGAAGGCGGGAAAGGAGAGGAGGCGAAGAACGGTTCGGGGCGGGACCAAGATTCAGATGAAGGGAGGGAAAAAGAAGCGTGAAGGAAAAGGGGATGGAAAAAAGTTACGGGTCAAGGGAAGAAGGCATGGAGGAGAGAAAGGTGAAGATGGCTTGGGATGCAGCGGGAAGCGGGGGACACTTGCATGCATGGCGTGGTACAGAAACAAAAAGGCACCGACAACAGTTACGCTTTGTCCATCCTAGCTCTAAAACTAGTTCAAGATTGAAAAATTCAAAAGCAATACCTGCGTGCGGAATTAGACGTGCGAAAATCCTACGCCTATTCAGATCTCTTTAGAAAATTCACAGAGCTTTCCCAGGCGAATTAGACCCGGGGGAGATGATGGGCATCGCAGCAAGCTTTTACAATGTTTTGCACACATCTAAGGAAGCAGGCCATGAGCCTAGCCTGGTGCATGAAAAACGGCAGAAGTTTTTGTCATAGCTTGACAAGACCATCTCGGCGGAGCATGCAGCCCGCCTCGATAGACCCATTGGGCAGGAGGAAGTAAGGGAGGCTTTGCACTCGCTGCAGCCCAATAAAACCCCGGGCAGGGATGGGTTATCCAGGGAGTTTTGGTTGACCTTCTGGGTGGTGTTCGAGCAGGAGTGCTGGCCAAACTCCTAGCCAATCGCCTCAGTACAGTCACCAGCCATTGCTTCCACATCGATCAGATGGACTTCATCCCCGGCCAATTTATACTCGACAATGTTATGACTTTGACCGAAGTGGTCTGCTACATCAACGACAAGAGGTTCAACGCGGCCATTCTATTCTTCGACTTCGAGAAAGCTTATGATCAGGTGAACTGGAATTTCCAGCAGCAATGCATGGAACGCATAGGTTCAATCGCTGGGTGCGTGTATTATACAACCATGCGCATGGCCAGGTGCAGGTTAACGACTTTTTCTCAGCTCCATACTGGATGACCAGGCCCATCGGGCAGGGGGAACCTGCTGGCAGCACCGCTCTTTCTGTTCACAGTGGAAGCCATTGCCTCCTCCTATCGTGAAGACCTCTCCATACAGCGCCTGGTGGCCAAGCTGGCCCCGGAGGGGCATTGGGTGTCACTCCCAGTTACCCTCCTGTTTGCTGACAACCTCACGACCCTCATTTGTGCTTCCGACTCGTCCCTTTAAAGTTCTGACCCGGGCGATGCAGGCCTTCCATCTTGCTTCGGAAATGAGAATTAACTGGCACAAGACACTAGATTGGTGGCTAGCAGATACACCGCCGCCCTCACAGCATATCACACCGGAAGGCTTTGGTTGGCAAGATTGGAGTGTCCCACTACGTTTCCTTGGCGTCAAACTGACGGAAAATGGCCAGACAAGTCCATGACAAGTCCATGACACCGGATATATTGGCCAAAATGCTGGCCAAAATGGACGTGTGGTCCAGTGTCTACCCCTCCGTCTTTGGACGGGCTTTAGTCCTTAGCGCTTTGATTTTCTCTATGCTGTGGTACACAGGAACACTGTGGACGCCTGAGGCCTGTATGGGTAAGACCCTCAAAAGGCTACAGCATATATGTGGACTGGGAAGCTGGCTAAAGAGAACTGCATAGCCAAGGTCGCCTGGAAACACGTGATTCAACCCAAGGGCAGCGGGGGACTGGGGATACTGGATCCCACTATCCAGACTAAAGCGCTCCAATCTAAGTGGATCTTTAAGCTACTGACCCAGCGCGGTCTGCCGTGGACAGCACTCACCTTACATGGAGTCAAGCAGCTACCGGCAACGCGCACGCCCTCCAAACATGCAGGGCTTCTTCTGGCTCATGGCCAAGTCCTGGGCGGGAAGTAGATTGCAACATCCGGATTACTGTGCTCAGCTGTTACGAACGTGGAGGGAGATCTTCCCGGTGAAGGTCAAGCCCCCTGCAACGAGAGAGGAAGTCCTCAGACGACCTCTGATCTGCAACAAATGGCTGGTGGACACCTCTCAGAGACCTTGAACACTGACGTCCCAAGATGGGCGTTGGTCCACATGGGTCAAGACTCAAGGGAGGTGTCTGGCAGATCGAGCACATCTGGCAAGAGAATGAGGGGCGATGGAAAACTCACCAGGAGCTGCAGGACCAGCTGAAAGGCTGTCATAACCTGCAACAGAACCTGGACACTCTTCTCCAGTCTATCCCGGCGACATGGAGAACACTTTTGGCATCACCAACTGCCTCGCACAACGGGGAATGGGCTACCTGGGAGTACCTGGGACTTGGAGGACCCCCCCAAGGTGGCTCTGTCCTTCATCAAATGGACTGGCCCTGCCGACCAGTGGGCACTGGTGAGCATACACGACATGGAAGGGCCGGGGTTGACGGTTGGCAGAGTCAGCAAAACAGTCTCCGCACAGGCAGTAGTCAGACTTGTTTGCCTCCGGAAAGTGCGGGTGGTGGAACATGAGGACCTCTGGATATTCGAGCCAACCATGCCTTTGCAAGACTTGGAATGTGACTGTGCACAATGGGCCTGGAAACTCCCAACCCCGGCAGGCCACGTGGACCGCCAAGTGAGCATCTTAGACTATACCACACGGCTGGGATACAGGTTGCGTAGGCGTTCGGCAAATACCCATAGCACGCTGGTCCAACGTTGGGGCCGACTCATGCCGGGACTAACAATGGACCTCCATGAGATACTGTGGGCTGCAGTGCTAGCGATTCCCAACACAAGGGTGCGGGAGCATGCAATGACTGCTGGAGTACGTGGCACTACCTGTCAACCAGTGGTTGGCCAAGAGAGGAGCACAGGCTTATAGGCAGAACTGTGACGAGTGCTGTGGTATTTGCGACATGGGAGCAGCGGAGGACGTGGTGCACTGTATGCTGGCTTGTCCCAAGGCACGCCAGGTGTGAGACCACATCAAAAACCTATGGAGCGAAACCATGGAACAAGCATGGCCAGAGGACCACTTGGGATTGCTAACAGGACTTGCCCGGCCGCAGGCTCGGGAGCGGTGGATGTGCCGGTTCTTTAAGAGACTACGCCCCTTGACGTTGTGGGTGGTGTGGAAGAGAATATGCAAGGAAACAATCGACAAACAGGAGGTGTCGCTGGAGCAGGCTTGGGACAAGCTTAAACAAGCGATGGATACGGAATACCAGGCTGACTGGCATAGGCAGCTGCTCTTACTCAAGCAAGAACCGGAGAGGCATCAGGAAGTACTCACTAAATTTGCACAGAGCGTCCTGGGTAATGGAAAATTGGGGTCTGTGGAGGGCAGTATGCTCAAATGTGTCCGGCGGACTGGGGTGTGTCCCTCCCAGGGCATAGCCCCGCTGGGGACGGTGCAGCCACAACACCCCGACCCGATGGAGTGGGTCGCTAGCCTGCCCTTGGTGTGAGTAGGTAGGACTCAAGTTGGAAAGCCGTGTGATGTACGACTAAGGAAAGATCGTGAGGATCCCTGCTATGTTCCGCTGATGGGACAGAAGCCCAGGCCTGCTGTATGGAGGCACTAAACGGGTCTCATTTAACATGCGGCCATGCCCTGCCTTGGGGTCTTCCAGAGCACCGCCGCGGGTCGGCGGGGGATTACAGTGGCAACGCAGCAGAAGGGGCAGACGAAACTGGTTGGTGGCAATGCAGCAGAAGGGGCAGACGGAACTGGTTGGTTGTTGGAAGTCCATGAGGCTAACTTAGGCAGGGACCCTTCCTAACCGAAGTAATCAATGTCGTCCACTCGGGCCTCCCAACCATAATGGGTAAAAGTTGTATTTTCTTGACTTGCCGGTGGAAAAGGAACCGGACTGCTGCTCCCCAGAATAGAGGGAGCCTTGTGTAAAAAAAAAAAAAAAAAAAACCCTGAATAACTTTTGCTTCAGGGTCGGATCGAAATTCTCTGCCAAATAAAAATTAAAAAAGAAATGAAATTTAAAATACTTTTTATTTTTTTTTATTATTGTTATTTAAAATTTAAAATTTTAACTTATTTTAATATTTTTAATATTATTTTTTAATTCATTTTCGGCTCGGCCAGGCAAGTGGTCCCGGCCCACTCTGGTAACGCAGCTGGAAGGGGAAAATGAAAATGAGTAAAATCAAAAACCTTGAACTCAATCAAACTTATCAAAGTCAATAGCTTATGAATGACTATTTGAGGCAATTGGTTTCGTAAGTTCTATTCTTAGATCCATCACTTCCGTCAGTGAGCATCATCTTGGTTCCAAAAATTGACCTGACTTCAGGGTAGTCTGGGCGCCTGCAGCCGACGCCTACTGTAGGCTGTAGGCGCGCCTACCGGTCGGGCGATCCGTAGGCGGTCTGCCTACCGGTCGGCACACTGCCTTGCACTTTTTCCTTTTTTTTTCCTGAGTACATTGCTGTTCTGCGCTTGAGCAGAACAGCCCAAATACGCAATAAATTTTTGTTTGCGGGGGGTGTGGGGAGGTTCAGGGGGTGTTTGGGGGGTTCTGTGGGGAAGGTTCAGGGAGTGTTCGGGGGTTGTTCCGGGGCTGCTCAGGGGTTGTTTCGGGGGTTCTCTGGGGGAGGCTCAGCGTGTGTTTGGGGGCTGTTTGGGGAGGTGGACAGGGGATGTTTGGGGGGTTCGAGAACAGAAGTAAAGAAGGGGTGTTGGGGGGGGGCAGGAGTTTCAGGGGCTGTTTGCGTGGTGTTCGGGGCGTATTCAGAGGCTGTTTGGCGGGTTTTGTGGGTGAGGTTCAGGGGGTGTTTGGGGGGTGTTCGGGGGTTGTTCAGGGGGTGTTTCGGGAGTTCTCTGGGGGAGGTTCAGGGTGTGTTTGGGTGGTGTTCGGGGAGGTGGACAGGGGGTGTTTGGGGGGGTTGAGGACAGAAGTAAAGAGGGAAACCAACGCAGGTCTAGACGACGACGCCTGACAAAAGTGAGAGCAGCAAAATGGTGTTAAGTGCTACTCTGCTTTCACCCAGGGCCCAGCCTCTCCTGTAAGTCACTCAGTGAGGCCAACGGTGCATGATGGGCCCGGTAGGMCCCCCGCCATTTTTGTTTTCCAACTGCGGGGTGCCTACCGACCCACCGCTCGGTGCCGACAGCGCCTACCGTAGGCGGGTTGGCCACCTACAGTTCCAGGGGTGCTGACGGTCGGCCAGACTACCCTGCCTGACTTGCGAAACAGGTTTAACTTCTAGGCCTTTTACAAGGTATAAATAACCGACAAAATACTCATCACTTAACTGTGATTGGTCATGCTACAGGTTGCAAGAGGTTGTTTCTAATGACGCCCACGAGGAAGGAAGGATCCCGAGGACTGTGGAGTGTGAATTGAAGGAGGATCTTGTGGATTCATGTCTGCCGGGCGACATTGTGACAGTTTGTGGGATTGTGAAAGTCCTCAACGGCGAAGCTGATGCTGCTTCTGGTGAGTACAATGGGATTACTTGAATTGCTGTAAAGAAAGTGCAAGGCTGAGTGATGCACGTCTCTGGTCAGGTTCTGATGTTCACCATTGATGAATGTAAAACAGGCTGTGGGTTCATTCGCTAGGGGAGAGGTACAGACATGGTCCGCCTAGGTGGGGATGCCATGTTGTAGTCAACCCCTTTCCCAGGTTGGCAGAGAGCATTGTTGTTTGACCGAGTAGATATAGGAACCAGCAGTTAAGTTGAGTTAGCCCAACTAACATTGCTTGATGGTGCTCTCCCTTTTCTTAATCAATGGTACTCCCAGACGACCAGGGTTGTCCTAGCCCAGCTGCCCAGCCAGGCACCCAGGCCCGGGCAGCCTAATCCACTGGGTCACTCGGGTGAACAAAAAAATGATGGCTTCCCTCCCCCCCCCCAACCCCCCCCAATTAACATTGCTTGATGGTGCTCTCCCTTTTCTTATGACGGACATTTCGTCACCCACCTAGCTGTGCCCCAATCCCACCTATCTTTGAATTTGGTGATGTCTTCCCCTAAGGATACAGCATGCTTACGACATATCAGACTAGTGCGTGATGCGGTGAAGTGCTGTGCGCCGTGCGCCATGCATGAGTAGCAGTTGCGCTTGCACCGGTGCACACAATGTTCCCTGATGCACAGTGCACCATGTGCCTCGTGTGGCGCATGTTAGGGGTGCACCATGCTCCAGTGCGAACCACAGAATACAGAAAAGCATAAAAAACACAGACGGAAACAGTGAGGGAATTGAGAAGCGAACTGAAGGGCAGTCGTCATCTGGTGGAGAACTTGAACGATGTGTTGATTTCCATCCCAGCGGAATGGGCGGCATTGCTGGAAAAGGGCCATGAATGGGAGAATGGAGACTTGGTTACGTGGAGGGAAGAAGGCATACCGGGAGAGGCCTTCCGGGTACAGCAGAGAGGGAAGGACCAAGATGGAACTGGTTGAGATCAGAGATGTATGGAATTGAGGAACCGGGAGCTACTACCAGCAAACTGAAGAAGGACTCAAGAACATATCGAGAAGAGAAGACAGCTCAGAATGTGACGGTGGTTGAAACAGAGGACTCTACTATCTACAAATCCACAACGACGATAGAAGATTTGGAGATTGATCCGGTGGAATGGGCCTGGGATTTAAGGGGTGGCAGATTAAGAGCAGCCTTAAAAGGCCAGTACATGGCCCGAGCCTTGTGGAGAAATCGCTTGACATAGCTGCTTTGGGTTGTCTTCGGGACATCAGGGCAGCACCATAGCTGCCACCCAGTAGTCCACCATGGCCTATGCATGAGAGAGGAGGTTGAAGGAGGGAAGACATAGCCATGGTGGACTCGTTGTTGTTGTTGTTGTTGTGAGTTGAGTCAGCAGTAAGGGGTAACTTCGGACATTGATTCTGGTTCTCCCATTCATTGTTATTATTATTATCGAGAGAAGAATAAGATTGGTGAAGAGAAGGAGGAAGGAGGAAGGTGGAGAGAGAAAGGGGAATTGTCATTGGTCTTGCTGGTGTACTTCTTCTTCTTCTTCTTCTTCTTCTTCTTCTTCTTCTTCTTCTTACCTCTCCTCTGGTCTTTATCTCTTGCAAGTGCTTTCATTTCTTTCGCAATTGGGTGGCATTGTCTTTCATTGTGAATTTGCACTTGTGAAATGACCAGGATCGTAACAATTGGTATCGGAGCGGACTTACTTGCTGGCGAGAGGTGTTAGTCACCCTAACCCTAATTCTGAATTAGGTTAGGGCTAACCTAATCTCGGATTAGGGTTGGAAGTTAGGGTTAAGTGGGGCAGCGAGGTATGGGGATGCTGCCCCCACCTGGTTAGGTCATGTAGGGTCGACATTGGACCCAACCAGGTTGCTTGAGTGAATGTATGGGGTGGCGAGACACAAAGGAGGCTGTTTGGAGTRAGCGAGAGGGAGTAGAGAGTGAGAGGTACTCGCACCTGGAATCTGGACTTCAGGGAGACATTGAGTGACTTTTGGGCTTCCCCTCAAGAGGGAGACTGGATCGGAGGCTGCCATATCTGCATCGGATTGCTGCAAGTTGCTACTTTGGTCTTCAGGCATCGACGGGGGATCCGGCTTTGCAACAGGGGTGTAGGAAGGCCCTCTTAGTCATGCTAGGACACTTCGTGTAGTGGTAGCTAGGGGTCAGGAGGACTTATATGAGAGGGGAGTGACTCGTTATCCATCTTTGGAGGCCGGGCCTCACAGGCTAGTGCCGTGTGACCTGGGAAAGCTCGTGGGAGGTTGCTTGGTGCTTCATGGCCTGTTGGGGGTGTGCTGGGTTCTCTTCCTCTTCTCTGCGGTCTTGGTTGTGTGTGTGAGCTTGTGGATTGCTTTCTCACCTGATGGATGGATGGATGATGTATCTGCTCTAAATGACATATCTTTCTACGGTGCATTGTCTTTTCATTTCTGAACGGCTGTAGAAGTGAGTTCTTGCTGAAAGTTATCTTTTCCTTTTCAGTACGGTAGAGGCAGTTTTGGGACCGACTTGGCACCCTATCACGTTGGTCCTGGTCCACGGCCTACTTGGGACCCCTCGGGACCTAGTGGGACCAGGCCCAACGGGACAGGACCTTTTGGGCCCAGATCTGTTGCCGCTAGTGCATTTCTTTGCTGTGCTGGAATTGGGGGACATACGGACAGCAAGGGCATTCCTTTCAAGGGGATCTTGACTGGCCTTACCGCATGTTAGCACATACTGCCCCGCGTCTGACTCGGCGACCATCTGCGCCCCTCGAAATCTCCATTGCTGCAGATTAGTCTTCTTCGTCTGATTTACTGTGTTGTATGTCCCCTGTCAGGTTAGACAAGAGGGGATCTCCAGCTGATCTGATCGGGCCCGTTCTATAAATCAGACCTCTCTGCTGTTTTATTTATTTTTATTTATTCTTCTGCTGCGTGCCACACTCTAAGTCCAAATGATTCGCCGCTCCGGCCAGGAGTTCTACCTTCTTCTCTGAGTGGTTTTCTGTTTGTTTCTTTTATCTGAACTATCTATGTCCAGTATCGAGACGCGTGCGCAGGCAGCGAAAAGAGAGGAAAGGGAGAGAGAAGGTGTGCTGTTTGAGAGTGTGAGAAGGGGTAAGAGGAGTGTTCGTCCAAACGTAAGGAGAGAGCGGACCCCTCTTGAGAGTTCTATTGACACCCCTTCCTCCAGCATGGCGGTCATCACCTCTGCCCAATGGCAGGCCATGCTGGACGCAGCAGACGAGAGCCATAAACCATTCTTTCAAAAACTGTATGATGATGCCGTGCAGAGGGAAAGGGAGGCAGCGGCAGCAGCTAGAGCCGCCGACATTGCTGATCAGGTGGCTCTCCTTCGGATCCCGGAAGCCAATGCTGACTGGTTCCAGGAAGAACTAGCTGCTGCTGTAGCAGCCTTGGTCCGACTGCGGACCCTGGAAAACCTTGAGTCTCGTATGACAGCACTCGAGCAGCGGAACGAAGAGCTGCAGGCTAAGGTAATTAGCCTTGAACAGTCCCAGTTGTCTGCCTCTCGCCCTCCTAACCCTCGGTCCGCTGTAGTCCCGGTCTCTCAATCAAACACAGCCCTCATAGTTAGATCAAGTGGAACCATGGCAAGCGCAGGAACCGGTGCCAACTCCTCGAGCAGCAGCACCGGCAGTTCTGTGCTGGTCATGGTCCCAAATGCAGGGACTTCAGCCCAAAACGCCACAGTCCTTACTGGCGTTCAGCACAACGGTCCCATGGTGGACAAGCGGGCGGCCATGCTGCCGTCCAAGTACGACGGGAAGGCAGACATCACCTCTTGGATTAGTTCCATGCGGTCGTACTTTGAGGTCATGCGGACAGCGCAAGAGGACGGAAGTATGGTCATGGGGACTAATACTGAGCCGGTCGTGCGAAACCACATTGAGCTCCAAGCTGTTGCTGCAGGCTATGCACACATAGACCTGACTGATTGGCTGAAGGTCACCCCTGTCCGCGTTCTTGAGGATCTTCTCCTTGATCGGTACCAGGATAAACATGCTGCGCTCAAGGCTAGGCTGAAGCTTGAGGCCCTCAAGGGCCAAACATGGAGGTCATCCATGCAGGCTTTGCAACAGCACTTGACTAGTCTGTTCACCACTCCGGATCTGGGAATGACTGATGTATCTTGTATGGATGTAGTTATGGGAGTGGCCCCTAAAGTTTACCTCTCCCTGCTAGCACTCAAGGACCATGCCACCTGGCGAGAGCTCATGAAGGACCTAGTTGACCTAGAGGCCAAGGACCTCAGCAGGCGCAAGAAGGCGCCCGCTGCAGGTGGAAAACCACAACGCAAGCGGTTTGGAAGCAGCAACCAGCTTGCACTGCATGACCATCGGGAGGCTGAAGATCAGTCCTATGCGGATGATCTGTCTCTAGATGACGATCTAGAGCCGGACTCCGATACGGGCTGTTCTGCATCAGCCATTGAGTGTGATAGAAATGACGATGAAAAACTTAATGCATTCAGAAAGACTGCTTCAAATAAGGGGCCTAACCGTGGTTCAGGTAAGGGAACGGTCTTACACCTTCCCAAGAATGCTAAGATCCTTGAGAAACCGGAGGACGCTTCTACCAAGCCTTGGGAAGCCCTCCGTATCAGCCAAAAAGAATGGGAAAGAAGGTCCAAACTGCGCATATGCTTGCATTGTCAAAAGCCTGGGCATGCTGTGCAGGATTGCTATCGAGCAAGGGAAGCAGGGCAGTCAGTTGCAGGCCCTTCCGAGGAGCCTGGAGCTGATCAGCAGCGTGCTCTTGAAGCCCAAACTAACGCTGATTCCAAGGCTGATGCWGTCCAAGTGTTATACACTGAGCCTTGGGAGGAGTCCAAAGAGGTCGACCTCCACGCCCACATGGAGCATTGGCTGCAGCTCAAGCAGCAACGCCGTGTTCAAGGGAGCGTGGAGCTGACTTTCTTTAAACTGCTCATTAACCGCCGATACATCCACGTGCTGATTGACAGTGGTTCGACCACTAATTTCTTCTCTCCGAACGGGATTAGTAAGGCGGGTCTGGGTATGAAGCAAGTGGAACTGCAGAACCCTTGCCGGACTCAGGTGGGCAACCAAGAGGTTGTCACTTCCACTCATGTTGTCAAAGGTGTGCGCATCACCTTTGACAAAGACCGCACTGTCACACATGAGCGGAATTTCTATGTCCTGGATAAGTGTCCTTTCGACGCGGTCATGGGCTTGGGCTGGCTAAAGGCTCATTGCCTAAGGACCACGTGGGCGGACAACCAGTTCGTGGTACTTGATGCCAAGGGGAACGAGGGTACCGTCTTATTAGATGAGACGCGCGAGTCCCCTGTGACTCTTCTAAGTGCTAACAAATTCTGCAGGTCAGTGCGCAGGCGCAAGGAAGGTGAGTTTGTACATATAGCCCTTGTAAAACCACTTCATGTGACTTCTACTTTTGCTGCATTTTCTACCTCTGAAGGTAACTCTACCTCTACTACTTCTACTTCTGTTCCACCTACTTCTATTGTAGATGATCAACCTATTTCTGATCCCAATACCTCGAAACCGGTTGTAATTGCTGTAAATTCCCAATCTGGTTTTCTCTCTCCTGATGAGGATGATCCTCCACCCGAAATCCCAGCAAACATTCGCCATCTATTAGATTGATTTCCTGAGGTGTTGGCTGAACCTCGCGGAGTTCCCGAGTGTCCAGTCAAGCACAAAATCGAGATAATAGAAGGGAGTGTTCCTCCAAAGGGCTGCGTCTACCGCATGGGACAAGGCGAGTTGGAGGAGCTGCGGAGACAAATCGATGACATGATTGATCGTGGATGGATTAGACCTAGCGAGTCTGAATTTGGCGCACCTGTCTTGTTTGTGCCGAAGAAAGGAGGCAAACTCCGGATGTGCATTGATTATCGTGGCTTGAATCAAATCACAGGGAAGAACGCCTACCCCTTGCCTCGCATAGATGATTTGTTAGATGCGGCCGGTGGTTGCAAAGTCTTCTCCAAGATCGACCTCAAGTCTGGCTACCACCAGATTGAAGTTGATCCGAGCGACCAGCACAAAACTGCATTCAAGACGCGCGATGGGCTGTACGAATTCATCGTTATGCCCTTCGGTCTTACGAATGCACCGGCCACATTTCAGTGCCTCATGGACAAGGTACTCCGCCATCAGCTTAACAGGTTTGTGGTTGTGTATCTCGATGACATTCTGATTTTCAGCAAGTCCATGGATGAGCACGTCAAGCATCTTGAGGAAGTTTTGCAAGTCCTCAAAGAGGCTCAACTGCACCTCAACTTGGAAAAGTCTGAGTTTGGTAGGGACAGCGTCATCTATCTCGGGCACCGGTTGTCTGCAAACGGCCTTGAGCCGGAGGCAACCAAGGTTGAGGTCATTCGCAACTGGCCTCAACCGGCGAATGTACGTGAACTGCGTTCCTTTCTCGGTTTGGCATCTTATTACCGGAAGTTTGTGCCCAGATTTTCTGTTATTGCGCACCCACTCTCAAGACTGACAAGCAAAAATGTTGCTTATGTGTGGTGTGATAAGTGTGAGACTGCGTTCCAAGCCTTGAAAGAGGCTCTGGTGAGTCATCCTGTGCTCCGCATTGCGGATCCCAACCTCACGTTCGTAGTCACTACGGACGTGAGCCAATTTGGGATTGGTGCAGTGATGCAACAAGATGATGGCGATGGCCTGCGTCCGCTCGAATATTACAGCAAACGCATGCCCAGCCACAAGGTGGCCACTTCCATGTATATGCGAGAGCTTTACGCCCTACGTGAAGCCCTCGCACATTGGAAGCACTACCTCTTGGGTCGCCACTTCAAGGTCTACTCTGATCATCAGACCTTGCAGTGGATTCAGACACAATCCGAACTCTCTCCTACGTTGACCCGCTGGCTGCATGACATTGATGTTTACAGTTTTGAGTTGAAGCATAAGAAAGGCTGTTATAACCGGGTTGCTGATGCGTTATCCCGCCATCCTGAGTTTTTGACTTGCCTTGTGGGTTCATACGACCTCCGAAGGAAACTGAAGGAGGATCTGATTGAACACACCGCCAAGGATCCGGACCTCAGTCCCATCCTTGAGCAGCTCAAGGCTGACCCCAATAGTCAGCCTGATTTTCACGAATGCGAGGGTCTTGTGTTCTGCCGGTATGGAAAGTTTGACCGTTTGTGTGTACCCAACCATGCGCCTCTCCGAACTCATTTCTTGGATTTGGCGCATGGTCGGAGTGGACATTTTGGCTTTGAGAAGACTTATGGAAGTCTTCTGCAGCAATTTGATTGGCCAGGAATGAAAGGATCTGCTCAGAAATTCATTGCTGAATGTCAGTTATGCCAAAGAATCAAGGTCCACAGGCATAAGCCTTACGGCCTACTGAGACCTCTCCCCATTCCTGATGGACCTGGTGAGTCGATCTTCATCGACTTCACGGACATGGGAAAGGTAAGTGAGGCTGGGAATTCACATGTCATGGTCATTGTGGACCGCTTTTCCAAATTTCTGAACTTGATTCCTCTCCCTCCTCATGCCCCGATTGAACTTGTCATCGAGGAATTCCATCAGCAGTACATTCTGAAGTTCGGCGTCCCGAAAACTATCGTGAGTGATCGGGACACCAGATTCATCAGCAAAGACTGGAAGGACTTCACGTCCCAGATCTACGACATCAAACTAAACAGGACTTCTGGTCGACACCCCGAAGCCAACGGATTGGCTGAGGAGATCAACCAGACTGTCATCCGACTGCTACGCGCGCTGATTGTTCCAGATCAGAACACGTGGGACAAGGAACTACACAAAGTGAAGGGACTGTACAACAACAAACTCCATTCACTCTGCAACTGGCGTGACTCCAAACCAGCTGCAGTATGGATGGCCGATGCGCAACCCCCTCTCCTATCTGTTCCCCGAGCGGTCACCTGGTTTGACGCCGGGCATGCCTGGCTATAATGCCAAGTACGCATGCTTGCTCAAAGCTGTTACTGCAGCCATGAACAAGCGTCAACATGCCATGATCAAACATGCGAACAAGCTGCGCAAAGAAGAAAAATTCAAAGTTGGGGATTATGTTTGGGTCAAAATGTTTGAGTTTTCTGATGAAGAGGGCATATCACGGAAGCTTCTTCCATTATACTACGGCCCCTGGCAGATTCTGAAGGTAATCGGGGATGACTTTGGCCCTTCATTTGTGGTTGACGTGCCTCCTCATCTGCGCACGTATCCGGTCTTTCATGCGTCCAAACTATTTCCACACATTGATGATGAGACCTTTCCTTTTCGGGACCCGATGATACCTCGCCCTATCGATGGCGGCCATGAGATAGACAGAATCGTATCTCACGAGGGCAGAGGGAGGAACAGGCAGTATAAGGTTAGACAGAATCGTATCTCACGAGGGCAGAGGGAGGAACAGGCAGTATAAGGTTCACTTCCTCTATCACCCATTGACTGAATTCTTTTGGATCGACCGGAAAGAGCTGCTAAAGAGCGCTCCTCGCGTTGTGAATGCCTACGAAAGACAGATGACCGAGGGACAGACCGCTAAGTTCATAGCAACAATGACTCCTTATGGACTGACCAAGTCTCTCTTTCTGATGTACTCCTACGATGCGTTCTGTACCGACTCTGACTGAGATACTCGCTCGAAGGGACCTCGCTCTTGAGAGGGGACTAATGTAATGACCCGCCAAAAACACAGACTGAGAACACTGCTGATTTCTGGGATTTGCCAATGGAATGAATGCCTTGCTGTGATTCCCGCATTCTGCTGTGGTCCCAAGTCTGTGTGTGTGCGTGCCTGCTGGTTTGCATGCCTGTCCGAGTGCTTGCCGGTTGTGTGTGTGTGCGTGCCTGCTGGTTTGCATGTCTGTCTGAGTGCTTGCTGGTTGGGTACGTGTGTGTGACCCGCAAGGGTACTTGTTGGTTGTGAGGCCCACCGGGCCGGTACTTACCTGTGGCCGTGACTTTGGAGGGTTGCAGGGGGGTAAACACGCCGGTAGCGGGGAGTAGGCCCACGGCACTTAGAGCAGCTGGGGAAAAACACTCAAGTAGCAGGTAGGCCGAGCAGAAGAAGACAAAAAGTTGGCATTTTTTAGAGGCCCAGTAGCGGTAGGTTAGAGGTAGGCTGGTACCAGTCCAAGTAGCCTGGGTCCAGGGCCTGTGCGGACAATAACAGAGCCTGCAATGATGTTTCCCTCCAAAAGGGAGGAGGTACTGGTTGCTGGGAGGCCGCTTGACCTAGGAAGTCACCGCCCAGGAGGCCGGTAGGCCGCTATATCTTCAGGAAGAGCGGAGAGCTCTTCCTCATTTGCGGTATGCAAGGATTGGCAACATGCTGCTGGAGCGCAGCGCTGGTCTGAAGCAGCGCTGCTTGGAGGTGAAGGTCCGCTGGGGCTCAGCCTGGCTATGGCGAGCACCCCAGCTTGAGGAGGAGGAAGAAGGGGGCATGGTAGGAGAGTGGTAGGGCACTTACCTGGCTATGGTGGACACCATCTTCATCACCTTGTTGGGCGCTGCATCTGGAAGGCCCCAGTTGGGGTAGCGCTGCACCAGAGCAGCTCGAGGCAAAGTCAGGCATAGCGGACCAAGTCAAGCAGCGACATAGCTGCTTTGGGTTGTCTTGGGACATCAGGGCAGCACCATAGCTGCCACCCAGTAGTCCGCCATGGCCTATGCATGAGAGAGGAGGTTGAATGTTACATGCTGAAAGCCTACACACGGGCCCCTCACGGGACCCGAGGTTGGAATAGGGCCCCCAGGTCGCATCACCGCAACCTGAAGGCCCTATGGCATTTTTACTTGGGCCTGCATCAGAAAAACGCCAGCTTTAGGTTATTTTTATAGTCTTTATTTTATTTATTTGCTGCTGTTTTTCTAACGGGTGTACTGTTGTCCGTTTTGTGGCCAGGTACACGTTTTACGACCAGGGCCAGATTCAGGCCCAGAGGCTGAGCTCCTAAAAACGTTTGGACCTTTTCTTTTGTTTTCGAACAGATTTTGACCTGTTCGGACCCAGGCCGACGTTGAGGCCGGGTACGTCCGCACAGGACCGGTTTGAAGCGAGGTACCAGGAAACTGAATCCTGGAACGGGCCTGGACGTCCGGTAGGGACCCAGGCAGGCCGTTTTAGGCCAAGGACTGAACCAGTTTTCGAAGCCTGCGATCTGGACCACGGATCGGAGTTTCGATCTGCACGGTCCAGAACGCAGGCCGTGGGCTTTCAGTCCTGGCCCAGCGCTACTTAAGCTGGGCCATTGCCCAGTTCGGACAGAGAAGGTACCAGGAGAAATCCAGCGTTATGCTGGTTCAGGAGCTTCGCTGCTGCACTATTCTGGAGACTCCCTGCTGTGCTATTTCGAGACTGCAGCTGCGCTGCTCATCGGCAATGAGGCACAGCGCTGGAGGAGTCCAGCGCAGAGGAGGGTAGTGGAGTTAGAGAGAGAGAGAGAGAGAGAGAGAGAGAGAGAGAGAGA